CTGGAGCATTATGTTTACTTAAATGTAAGGCGAGAGAATCTTTTTTAGGACGTTCTGCGGTTCGGTAGGTATTTGTGACACTTGATACACTTGCATGGCTACATCTTTGACATGGCGTTAGGTCATGAGCAAGTTTAACGTTACCGTAAGGTGTAGATGAACCAGTCAGCCTGTTAGACGACTGGAATTTCCTAACATCATTAGGACTACTGAACTTAGACAGCGCAGGACAAGTACAATTTCTTAATTATTTCCTGAGTCTGATTAGGTGGCAGTTTGCTGAAGGCATGCCGCACGCTTAGAAGCATGTCAGCTTGATTTCGTCTAGAGACATCCGATCAGGCAGATTATATGCGAGAACGTTGTAGGAAGAGATGATTCGTTTAGTCACTCAATTCGCTATAAAGTTAAACATACGCTCAGACTTCAGCAGACTTTCCGGATTGGTATCGTGAGTTGGGTAACAAAGAAGCTTTAACGGCTTTATGGTGTTTATATACTCATTGAGTTCCTTCACAGAGTTTCCTGAGGAAATATGGTCTAACTTATTTTGTTCGGCAGTTGCATATATCTCTGATAACAAATCAGGCACAATAACTTCGGTTACATTGTTGGGGCTACGTGGAACGTGTAGGTATGTACGTATCTTCTCAACCCAGTGACCCAAGTTTTTCTTACCTATAGAAAATACTCGCCTATTACGTTGTGCCATTGTTGCAAACTGATAGGCATAGTATCAATTAGAAACTGAGCGAAAAACAACACAGATATATGCACAAATATTATATCAAGCGGTTATACAGTATAAAACAAATGCAGGCACATTATGAAGCTTTAATGTTTATCAATAATAAATAAATAGGAAAAGTATTTCACCGCGAAACACAGACTATTCAGAAAACAATTATCCAGCAAATTGATCACGATTTATGAATAAATAATCGAATCGCATATCGTATCATTTGGCGCTAAGTTGTAATATAGTTGTAAAAGAAGGATGAGTGAATCGATACTTAAACACTCGCGCAGGCATACATGAATAATTAAAAGTTATAGTAGAAAAAAACAATAAATGGATCGAGAGCGGCTAATTATCCGATAAAAAATTCTCCGAAACAATAAAATTCATAACCAGACATTCAAAGGAACGAAAGAAATCGCGCGCAGAAGAGTTGAGACACCAGTGAATGATAAACGGTGGGCTTCCGCTCGGTCGGAGTTGCACGGTTGAATACACGATAGTCTTCTCATGGTGATGGGACCGGCACCTTGCGATACTTTACTATTCGTCAGGACTTTGCGTCACCTGCTTCTTATGGAGTCTTACCCAGCTTTTCAATCACGTTCATTTTATCCAACGACAACAGCAATAATAATGACTGTCTTGCTGGATTGTGGATTACACGTTGCGTAGGGAGTAGGCTAGTATCACCTTTGTGATGGTCTCTGTGTGCGGCTTTTGAGAATATTGGAATGAATTTATCTCCGTCAATTAACCGTACGGCTTCAGTGGATCTAGTCTGGCGATAATTTCCCTGGACATCCGCCCCCACCGAATGACGTATCTAGATGGAGTATCCTCACTATCAATGTTAATGGTCCGTGCAAGTATTCAAATGTCAGCTTCTAGGAGAGGTTCTTCAGTTCCTTTTTGGACTTCACCTCCTTTGTCTGGGAGAATATAGGATTTAGTGACTAGTGATGTGTTGTGAGCACCTAACCGTTTGGATTCACTTAAGTGCGCTAATCATTGTTTGGCGTAGGATTTCCAACGCCGACTCCTTACTTTTCACGAGTCACCCTCTAGTCTCGCGTCCTCATCACCGGCTTTCCCGAGTGGTCATCTTTACTTACTAACAGAATCGGCTTGAACCTTTTCGCTTCGTTTATGTATTTTTTGCCAAATGTATTGTGGTTGTGTCTAACTTACGCATACCTTTATTTGGTTGTTTTACTTTCAGTGGAAGGTCTCTTACATCGGCTGGTAGACGCGACTTGGATAGACTAGCCTACCAAATTTCGAGAGAGCGTCGTTAATGCATTGAATACATAATTTTGGCATGAAAATGACTTTTGAGGTAGAATGGGTTGGGTTGGCAAGTGTAAGTGTTTATCTTTGCTTACGCGTCAGTGGATTTGTGTGGATGGTTAATTCACTCAGATGCGTATATGGTGCGGGTGACGGGTTAATCCAATGAGTATGATAGACACAGCTATATGCGTTGCGGTCAGCGTTTGAACGGAAAAAACTCGAATTAGCATCAAGTGGAGGAGAATGAGTGAAATCAACATATTCACCTTGGTGTTTGGAGGCAATTCAGTGTAGACATTGTAATTAGATGCATTTTGACTGGATGGGAGACGTCTGTGAACAACTGGGATGAGACAAACGACTTCAGGTAGAAACCCGATCAATGAGTACTATAGTGATAATTCAAGAGAAGTCCCTAATTGAAAAATTCGGAGATTCTCTCTGAGAAACCATAGACCGTAATGTGTAATTCATGCTAATCTACACATGACTGGGAAGAGGGCTACGAGATTGTACCTCGAGTAGAAGAACCGAAGACCATAAGGCCGAACTCGGTTCTAAGATGAGCAGACGGTGAATAGTTCTGCTGCTCATTTGAAGTGGGATTGATTCACAGTTTCTGTGAGGGTGTGACAGCAACCACTTACTACTTCTCTGAGCATATTTTAGTCTGGAGATGCTTTATGGTATTTACTCATGGAGACGGGTATAATCCTTTCCCCATCTATGGGTAAATATGTCGACAATACGTTGTCGTTTGTGACGATATGTGTCAGGCATCCGTATTATTTGGCTGCCTAAATGAGATCCAACCAAACATCAAATTCCCCATGGAACATGAAAACAACGACGAGTTCAATTTCCTGGATCTTAATGTAAAAACAAGAAAGGATGGAATGGCCGAAAAGTCCATCTACAGAAAAGAAACCTAGACAGGACAATATCTTCACTACAACAGCTTATGCCCTATAAGCTTTAAGCGGGGACTAGTAAGGACGCTGTACGACAGGGCCAGGAAGTTATGTTCGCTTAAGAAGGTGGAAGAGGAATTAAGCTTCGTTGAGAAATGCCTTAGGGAAAACGGGCATCCAAAGGGACTAATCATAAAATACAGCAAAAAACGACGAGAAAGCGAAGTATCCAACAGTTGCAAAGAAGAGAGTGTTCATTTGCCTCCCATTCAAAGGAGAAGCAGTATCAAAAAAGATTGACATGAGGATGAAAGGAGTAATAAAAAGATGTTTCTCTGCAGCTATGCCTGTGACGCTATACAGCGCTACATGCTCTACCAGGCAATCGAAACTGGATAAGTACCCTGTTGATGTTATCTCCAACCGCATTTATAAATTTCCATGCACCTGCGGCAGCAAGTACATTGGAAGGATAGAAAGAAAAGCTTCTATCCGGTTTTCAGGGCATATTCCAAGAAACTTATGCCTAAAACGAAGCAGATATTTAAAAAGTGCAATTGCCAGACACCTTGTGGATACAGATCATTTTGTCGAGATTTCCAATTCCTCCAAAATATTAAACATGCAAAGGACAGCGAATTTACCACGATTTGCTGAAGCAATTGCAATCAAGCGTTTCGGATCAAACTTATACACACGGAAAGAGAATGTGATAAATCTCCCACTCCCTCAGTGACCGTATTACCTCGATTAGAGTGATTTGATATACGCATTAGTGAGCTCAGCCCGCTGAGCGAGTTTTCAATTGGATGAACATTAATTTTCTTGAGTTGATACGTAGGTATACGAGCTAACACTATTTGTGAGATTTTTCTTTTTTCTGTCTTCTCTCACTCCCCTTCTTCATAATTCGGAAGCATATAAATTTATTCTTACTTGGACTATAACTGTAATGCTCATATTCCGGATGCGTTCATCTTATAATGTTTTCTCCATTACCTTTCAAACATTGAAGTGTGAAATGTCAATATTTGTAACCATTGTAATTTCAGGTAGTTTGCAGATGATGAGAACCTGTGAAATAGAATGATATCACTTTATACTGCAGATCTGGTCTTTCTCTCGCTATCGAGATTTATCAGGGTTTAGAGGCTGACGGTATTGAAGTTCGAGGATTGTACGGAGTATACTAAGGCAAGATCTAATACCCACAACTTCTATACTATTCGTTCCGCGTAGACCAAAGGAAAAACAAAACACCACAATTGATCGTCCAAATTACGAGATATATTTCGGGACCAAATCGGAGTGCGAGATGATTGTTTAGCTGGCTAGGAATTGTGCACGACGGAGTACCAAATGGCATGGATGCTTGACCGGAAGCCTTCAGCTAAACAAGTCGATTTAAACAGTAAGGGTCAGCATCCAATACTCAGTGATGAGTGCTGTGGTCAATAATTTTGGGGAATTATTTACCGCTACAAGGGGAACCAGATGCATGAAATATTCTAAGGATTTCACGAGCGTCAATCTGATATCTCGTACCTACAAGAGTGAGGCGATTGCTCTGGTCTAACTAAGCCCTTCGTGCTCTCAAGAACAAACGTCTGAGAAAGTGCACAAGAAAGAAAGGCGAAGCTGTCCTCCCAATCCTCTCAGTGCACTTCTTGTTGCAGCCATACGAAAATTCATCAATACAACTGAGTATAATTTGACCAGGATATTTATCTCTCGTCATCTATTCGGTGCTACAGATTGTCTGGCATACAACTCCTTAGTCCATGGGTGACAGTCTGCAGGTTTAGTACACCGTTTCACTCTACTAGAATAATACAATGTGCAGTGTTATTTCGAACAGCCTGACAGTGATGAGAAGCTGTGACACAGAATGATATAACTTCATGTTGAGAAAATGCATCAAATGGTGTGATCAAGACGGAGGTGGATGTTAAAATGCATTAAGCAAGGAAAATCGATTTAGCTTTTCTTACTCCTTGTTTATTGAAGGTCTCATTGAAGATTGAACGTGGCGATGATAATGTGTTTGAATCGGCACAATTCAATTTGTGGTGTTACTTGTTGCAAGCATGGTAAGGTGTGTGGAGTTTGTTGACTAACACTATGTAGGCTCCTGTCTCTGTTAAGGATATAGATGGTCATGTGTACATCAAAGCGCTGGCCCAGTTCCTGAAGAAGTGAGTCTGCATGTGTTTTCTTATCAGCCCTCGTTTAGAACCGGCAAAGTGAAGCTACCTGATTGGACTGACGTCGTGAAGCTTTCTACAGCCAACCAGTTGGCCCCGTATGATCCCGACTGGTTCTATGTTCGTTGTGCTGCTGTTCTCCGCCACCTGTACATCAGACCTACTGGGCTAACTGGTCTGAGCAAAGCATTTTCGAGGAAGAAGCGCAATGGTGTCAGACCATCCCACCGTTCTTTGGCACATGGTTCAGTCATCAGGAAAGCTATGCAACAGATGGAAGCTCTGGGATTGTGTCAAAAACGTGAGGGCGGGTAAGTCCAACATTCATCACCTGAGTCCCATTGCTTCGTATTATGGTCTAAATGTTGTCCAACGCAACTGATGGAGAGGTTTTCAACTGACCGAATTGCACAATCAACTTAGTGCGAGACGTTCCAGGATCGAGGCTTTAGTAATCTGGACGGTTTCTCTCCGACAAGATGGTTGACGAAGCACCACTACGAAGAGAAGTGTGGAGACAGTAAATGACAACGGTGGGCTTCCGCTCGGTCGGAGTTGCACGGTTGAATACACGATAGTCTTCTCATGGTGATGGGACCGGCACCTTGCGATACTTTACTATTCGTCAGGACTTTGCGTCACCTGCTTCTTATGGAGTCTTACCCAGCTTTTCAATCACGTTCATTTTATCCAACGACAACAGCAATAATAATGACTGTCTTGCTGGATTGTGGATTACACGTTGCGTAGGGAGTAGGCTAGTATCACCTTTGTGATGGTCTCTGTGTGCGGCTTTTGAGAATATTGGAATGAATTTATCTCCGTCAATTAACCGTACGGCTTCAGTGGATCTAGTCTGGCGATAATTTCCCTGGACATCCGCCCCCACCGAATGACGTATCTAGATGGAGTATCCTCACTATCAATGTTAATGGTCCGTGCAAGTATTCAAATGTCAGCTTCTAGGAGAGGTTCTTCAGTTCCTTTTTGGACTTCACCTCCTTTGTCTGGGAGAATATAGGATTTAGTGACTAGTGATGTGTTGTGAGCACCTAACCGTTTGGATTCACTTAAGTGCGCTAATCATTGTTTGGCGTAGGATTTCCAACGCCGACTCCTTACTTTTCACGAGTCACCCTCTAGTCTCGCGTCCTCATCACCGGCTTTCCCGAGTGGTCATCTTTACTTACTAACAGAATCGGCTTGAACCTTTTCGCTTCGTTTATGTATTTTTTGCCAAATGTATTGTGGTTGTGTCTAACTTACGCATACCTTTATTTGGTTGTTTTACTTTCAGTGGAAGGTCTCTTACATCGGCTGGTAGACGCGACTTGGATAGACTAGCCTACCAAATTTCGAGAGAGCGTCGTTAATGCATTGAATACATAATTTTGGCATGAAAATGACTTTTGAGGTAGAATGGGTTGGGTTGGCAAGTGTAAGTGTTTATCTTTGCTTACGCGTCAGTGGATTTGTGTGGATGGTTAATTCACTCAGATGCGTATATGGTGCGGGTGACGGGTTAATCCAATGAGTATGATAGACACAGCTATATGCGTTGCGGTCAGCGTTTGAACGGAAAAAACTCGAATTAGCATCAAGTGGAGGAGAATGAGTGAAATCAACATATTCACCTTGGTGTTTGGAGGCAATTCAGTGTAGACATTGTAATTAGATGCATTTTGACTGGATGGGAGACGTCTGTGAACAACTGGGATGAGACAAACGACTTCAGGTAGAAACCCGATCAATGAGTACTATAGTGATAATTCAAGAGAAGTCCCTAATTGAAAAATTCGGAGATTCTCTCTGAGAAACCATAGACCGTAATGTGTAATTCATGCTAATCTACACATGACTGGGAAGAGGGCTACGAGATTGTACCTCGAGTAGAAGAACCGAAGACCATAAGGCCGAACTCGGTTCTAAGATGAGCAGACGGTGAATAGTTCTGCTGCTCATTTGAAGTGGGATTGATTCACAGTTTCTGTGAGGGTGTGACAGCAACCACTTACTACTTCTCTGAGCATATTTTAGTCTGGAGATGCTTTATGGTATTTACTCATGGAGACGGGTATAATCCTTTCCCCATCTATGGGTAAATATGTCGACAATACGTTGTCGTTTGTGACGATATGTGTCAGGCATCCGTATTATTTGGCTGCCTAAATGAGATCCAACCAAACATCAAATTCCCCATGGAACATGAAAACAACGACGAGTTCAATTTCCTGGATCTTAATGTAAAAACAAGAAAGGATGGAATGGCCGAAAAGTCCATCTACAGAAAAGAAACCTAGACAGGACAATATCTTCACTACAACAGCTTATGCCCTATAAGCTTTAAGCGGGGACTAGTAAGGACGCTGTACGACAGGGCCAGGAAGTTATGTTCGCTTAAGAAGGTGGAAGAGGAATTAAGCTTCGTTGAGAAATGCCTTAGGGAAAACGGGCATCCAAAGGGACTAATCATAAAATACAGCAAAAAACGACGAGAAAGCGAAGTATCCAACAGTTGCAAAGAAGAGAGTGTTCATTTGCCTCCCATTCAAAGGAGAAGCAGTATCAAAAAAGATTGACATGAGGATGAAAGGAGTAATAAAAAGATGTTTCTCTGCAGCTATGCCTGTGACGCTATACAGCGCTACATGCTCTACCAGGCAATCGAAACTGGATAAGTACCCTGTTGATGTTATCTCCAACCGCATTTATAAATTTCCATGCACCTGCGGCAGCAAGTACATTGGAAGGATAGAAAGAAAAGCTTCTATCCGGTTTTCAGGGCATATTCCAAGAAACTTATGCCTAAAACGAAGCAGATATTTAAAAAGTGCAATTGCCAGACACCTTGTGGATACAGATCATTTTGTCGAGATTTCCAATTCCTCCAAAATATTAAACATGCAAAGGACAGCGAATTTACCACGATTTGCTGAAGCAATTGCAATCAAGCGTTTCGGATCAAACTTATACACACGGAAAGAGAATGTGATAAATCTCCCACTCCCTCAGTGACCGTATTACCTCGATTAGAGTGATTTGATATACGCATTAGTGAGCTCAGCCCGCTGAGCGAGTTTTCAATTGGATGAACATTAATTTTCTTGAGTTGATACGTAGGTATACGAGCTAACACTATTTGTGAGATTTTTCTTTTTTCTGTCTTCTCTCACTCCCCTTCTTCATAATTCGGAAGCATATAAATTTATTCTTACTTGGACTATAACTGTAATGCTCATATTCCGGATGCGTTCATCTTATAATGTTTTCTCCATTACCTTTCAAACATTGAAGTGTGAAATGTCAATATTTGTAACCATTGTAATTTCAGGTAGTTTGCAGATGATGAGAACCTGTGAAATAGAATGATATCACTTTATACTGCAGATCTGGTCTTTCTCTCGCTATCGAGATTTATCAGGGTTTAGAGGCTGACGGTATTGAAGTTCGAGGATTGTACGGAGTATACTAAGGCAAGATCTAATACCCACAACTTCTATACTATTCGTTCCGCGTAGACCAAAGGAAAAACAAAACACCACAATTGATCGTCCAAATTACGAGATATATTTCGGGACCAAATCGGAGTGCGAGATGATTGTTTAGCTGGCTAGGAATTGTGCACGACGGAGTACCAAATGGCATGGATGCTTGACCGGAAGCCTTCAGCTAAACAAGTCGATTTAAACAGTAAGGGTCAGCATCCAATACTCAGTGATGAGTGCTGTGGTCAATAATTTTGGGGAATTATTTACCGCTACAAGGGGAACCAGATGCATGAAATATTCTAAGGATTTCACGAGCGTCAATCTGATATCTCGTACCTACAAGAGTGAGGCGATTGCTCTGGTCTAACTAAGCCCTTCGTGCTCTCAAGAACAAACGTCTGAGAAAGTGCACAAGAAAGAAAGGCGAAGCTGTCCTCCCAATCCTCTCAGTGCACTTCTTGTTGCAGCCATACGAAAATTCATCAATACAACTGAGTATAATTTGACCAGGATATTTATCTCTCGTCATCTATTCGGTGCTACAGATTGTCTGGCATACAACTCCTTAGTCCATGGGTGACAGTCTGCAGGTTTAGTACACCGTTTCACTCTACTAGAATAATACAATGTGCAGTGTTATTTCGAACAGCCTGACAGTGATGAGAAGCTGTGACACAGAATGATATAACTTCATGTTGAGAAAATGCATCAAATGGTGTGATCAAGACGGAGGTGGATGTTAAAATGCATTAAGCAAGGAAAATCGATTTAGCTTTTCTTACTCCTTGTTTATTGAAGGTCTCATTGAAGATTGAACGTGGCGATGATAATGTGTTTGAATCGGCACAATTCAATTTGTGGTGTTACTTGTTGCAAGCATGGTAAGGTGTGTGGAGTTTGTTGACTAACACTATGTAGGCTCCTGTCTCTGTTAAGGATATAGATGGTCATGTGTACATCAAAGCGCTGGCCCAGTTCCTGAAGAAGTGAGTCTGCATGTGTTTTCTTATCAGCCCTCGTTTAGAACCGGCAAAGTGAAGCTACCTGATTGGACTGACGTCGTGAAGCTTTCTACAGCCAACCAGTTGGCCCCGTATGATCCCGACTGGTTCTATGTTCGTTGTGCTGCTGTTCTCCGCCACCTGTACATCAGACCTACTGGGCTAACTGGTCTGAGCAAAGCATTTTCGAGGAAGAAGCGCAATGGTGTCAGACCATCCCACCGTTCTTTGGCACATGGTTCAGTCATCAGGAAAGCTATGCAACAGATGGAAGCTCTGGGATTGTGTCAAAAACGTGAGGGCGGGTAAGTCCAACATTCATCACCTGAGTCCCATTGCTTCGTATTATGGTCTAAATGTTGTCCAACGCAACTGATGGAGAGGTTTTCAACTGACCGAATTGCACAATCAACTTAGTGCGAGACGTTCCAGGATCGAGGCTTTAGTAATCTGGACGGTTTCTCTCCGACAAGATGGTTGACGAAGCACCACTACGAAGAGAAGTGTGGAGACAGTAAATGACAACGGTGGGCTTCCGCTCGGTCGGAGTTGCACGGTTGAATACACGATAGTCTTCTCATGGTGATGGGACCGGCACCTTGCGATACTTTACTATTCGTCAGGACTTTGCGTCACCTGCTTCTTATGGAGTCTTACCCAGCTTTTCAATCACGTTCATTTTATCCAACGACAACAGCAATAATAATGACTGTCTTGCTGGATTGTGGATTACACGTTGCGTAGGGAGTAGGCTAGTATCACCTTTGTGATGGTCTCTGTGTGCGGCTTTTGAGAATATTGGAATGAATTTATCTCCGTCAATTAACCGTACGGCTTCAGTGGATCTAGTCTGGCGATAATTTCCCTGGACATCCGCCCCCACCGAATGACGTATCTAGATGGAGTATCCTCACTATCAATGTTAATGGTCCGTGCAAGTATTCAAATGTCAGCTTCTAGGAGAGGTTCTTCAGTTCCTTTTTGGACTTCACCTCCTTTGTCTGGGAGAATATAGGATTTAGTGACTAGTGATGTGTTGTGAGCACCTAACCGTTTGGATTCACTTAAGTGCGCTAATCATTGTTTGGCGTAGGATTTCCAACGCCGACTCCTTACTTTTCACGAGTCACCCTCTAGTCTCGCGTCCTCATCACCGGCTTTCCCGAGTGGTCATCTTTACTTACTAACAGAATCGGCTTGAACCTTTTCGCTTCGTTTATGTATTTTTTGCCAAATGTATTGTGGTTGTGTCTAACTTACGCATACCTTTATTTGGTTGTTTTACTTTCAGTGGAAGGTCTCTTACATCGGCTGGTAGACGCGACTTGGATAGACTAGCCTACCAAATTTCGAGAGAGCGTCGTTAATGCATTGAATACATAATTTTGGCATGAAAATGACTTTTGAGGTAGAATGGGTTGGGTTGGCAAGTGTAAGTGTTTATCTTTGCTTACGCGTCAGTGGATTTGTGTGGATGGTTAATTCACTCAGATGCGTATATGGTGCGGGTGACGGGTTAATCCAATGAGTATGATAGACACAGCTATATGCGTTGCGGTCAGCGTTTGAACGGAAAAAACTCGAATTAGCATCAAGTGGAGGAGAATGAGTGAAATCAACATATTCACCTTGGTGTTTGGAGGCAATTCAGTGTAGACATTGTAATTAGATGCATTTTGACTGGATGGGAGACGTCTGTGAACAACTGGGATGAGACAAACGACTTCAGGTAGAAACCCGATCAATGAGTACTATAGTGATAATTCAAGAGAAGTCCCTAATTGAAAAATTCGGAGATTCTCTCTGAGAAACCATAGACCGTAATGTGTAATTCATGCTAATCTACACATGACTGGGAAGAGGGCTACGAGATTGTACCTCGAGTAGAAGAACCGAAGACCATAAGGCCGAACT